TGGGGGGGCTGGGGGGTGATGTTGGGGGGGCTGAGGGGACCCACAGGGCCTGGGTCCGCTCAGCCGCCCCGAAGAGGCAGCGCAGGAAGGCGGGGGCAGGTGGGGGTGAGCTCCCATCCACTTGGGACCCCACCCCGCTGCGGGCGTCGTGGAGGCCGGTGGGGATGAGGACCCCGCGGGTCGGGGGGCTCCCGCCCTTCGGGGGGCTCCCGGCAGCCCCGGCGTGACTCAGTTTCCCTGGCGAAAAGAAGGGAAGGAGAGGATGAGGAACGCTGAAACCCTGAGGGGGGCCGGAGGCGGGTGGGGGGCTGCGGTGGGGTTGTACAAACCAGGGTGGTCTTTGTACGGCAATAAAACGCCTACCTTGGCACGGCAGCGTCTTTTTGGGGGGGTTACCAGGGTGGGCGGCAAGATTTAGGGGGAGAGGGACAGTGTGTGGGATGGGGGCACACGGGGAAACTGAGGCACGGCAGTGGAGGGACGCGGTGTCTTGTGGGACCGGGGGGGTCTGGGTCGGGGGGGCTTTGTGCTTATATAACCCTCCCCCCGCATCGCCCACCCGGTGCCAGGTTCTGCAGTGCCCAGATTAGCTGTTCCCGCTGCGGATCCCGCTGTCCCTGGGTCCCCGCCAGGCGCTGTCCCCTCCCCGACCCGGCCCCGTCCCGGTCCTTCCTCCCAGGAGCCGCCTGTCCCTGCACATCCCCCCTACAGCTCGGGCACAGACAGGATTTGGGGTTTTACAACGCCCCCAACCCCAAATGTGGGTCCCACCCTGCTCATTATCCCGGGTGCTGGGAGCACTGGGAGCACTGGGAGCTCGCACTGGCTCCTGCCAGAGCTGGGCTGAGGTCCAGCACACTCAGGGGTGATGGAGAGCTCAGATGGGCCCATTCCCATCCCTTCCATCCCCATCCCAAACCCCACATCATTCCAATCCATTCCATCCCCATCCCAAACCCCATCTCGTTCTAATCCCTTCCCATTCTCATCCCCATCCCATCCCACCCAAATCCCTCCACATTTCCATTCCCATCCCATCCCAATCCTTTCCCAGCCCCGTTCCACACCATTCCTGTCCCTTCCCATCCCCATCCCAAACCCCACATAATTCCAATGCCTTTCTGTCCCCATCCAATTTTTGCCCCTCTCCCAATCCCCCTCCATCCTCACCCCTCTCCCACCATCTCCATCCTCATCCCTCTCCCAATCCCCCTCCGTCTTCATCCCTTTCCCAATTCCCTTCTATCCTCACCACTCTCCCACCCTCTCCATTCTCCCAGTTCCCCTCCATCTTCATCCCTCTCCCAATCCTCCTCCATCCTCATCCCATGCCACACTCATGAGCTGGGGCAGCACAGAGGGCACACAGCCACACCTCGGGGTGGGGGGACACCACCTCCCAGGCGCGGGGACAGGATTCCCGGACCCCCGGAGCCCGGGAAGGGCGGCGGAGCCGTTATCAGCTCCGGGATGGATCCGGCCGCGGCCCCGGGGCGCTGGCGCTAACCGGGTTAGGCGGGATGGATGATGGATGGAGGGATGCGGGGGGGATGGACGGGGCCGTCGCGGCTCCCCGCGGCCCCCCCGGGCCGGGCAGGGATAAAAAGCGGCGGCGGCGGGGCCGGAGCCGCAGCCCCTCGCCATGAGCAGCCCGGCCGCGCTCCGAGAGGGCTACGAGCACTTCGACCCCCGCGCGTACCTGCGCAACAATTACCTCCCCCCCCGCGCCGACTTCTCCTCCGAGGAGTTCGTGGTGCCCTGGAAGCTGCGATGCCTGGCCGAGACCTTCGCCAGCGGTGAGAGGAAGGCGGCAGGGACCCTCAGTGGGGTGGGGAAACTGAGGCACGGAGCAGCCGGGGGCAGCTCCTTTGCTCCTGCCTGGTTTTCCCGCATTGTTGTGGGGATCCCCCCATGTCCTGTCCCCTCCCAGGTGAGATCCGAGGGCGGATGTTGATCGATGTGGGCTCGGGCCCCACCATCTACCAACTGCTGAGCGCCTGCGACCACTTCGAGGAGATCGTGGCCACCGATTACCTGGCGGTGAACCGGGAGGAGCTGGGCCGGTGGGCGCGGGGCGAGCCCGGCGCCTTCGACTGGAGCCCCTTCATCCAGCACGTCTGCAAGATCGAGGGACGCGGGTAGGGGGGCCGGGGGGGCGCGGGGGGACCGCGGGAGCCCAGGAGGAGGGGGGTGCAGGGGTGGGGTGGTCCCTGCTGGATTGTGTCCCCAAAATCCACGGGATCACAGATCCAGGTCCTCGCAGATCCCTGTAGAGCAACGTCCCTGAGTCCCGTGGGATCACAGCCACGTTTTCCAACAGATGCTGAGGGGATCCCTACAGGACCACGTCACCAAAATCCCATGGCATCACGGCCCATATCCTCACAGACACAGTTCCCAAATCCCATGGGCTCCCTGCAGGATCCCAGCCTCAGATATCCATGGAATCCTGTCTCTGTGCCAGGGGATGAAGGGTTGATTCCCACAGGAGCCTGTCCCTGTGGGTGCCCAGTTGATCCTGCTCCCAGCTCTCTGTGGCTCTTGGGTCAATTCCTCCTGGATCCCATCCCCACATCCCTGCAGCTGCTGGGCTGATCCCCAGGAGATCCTGTCCCTTTGTCCCTGTGTGTGCTGGGTTTGCCCTGGTGCAATCCTGCTCCTGGGCCCCTGTGGGTTCTGGAATGGGCATCCCACCCCACAACCCTGCAGGATCCTGTCCCCACATCCCTGTGTGTGCTGGATTGATCCCATCCCCTCATCCCTGTGTGTGCTGGATTGATCCCATCCCTGTATCCATGTGTGTCCCGGGTCGATGCCCACCCATTATCCCTGTATCTGTGTGTGTGCTGGATTGATCCCATCCCCTCATCCCTGTGTGTGCTGGATTGATCCCATCCCTGTATCCATGTGTGTGCTGGATTGATCCCATCCCCTCATCCCTGTATCCCTGTGTGTGCTGGATTGATCCCATCCCCTCATCCCTGTGTGTGCTGGACTGATCCCATCCCTGTATCCCTGTGTGTGCTGGATTGACCCCATCCTCACATCCCTGTGTGTGCTGGATTGATCCCATCCTCACATCCCTGTGTGTGCTGGATTGATCCCATCCCTGTATCCCTGTGTGTCCCAGGTCAATGCCCACCCAATCCCTACTTCCCTGCACAATCCCACCCCACATCCCTGCAGAATTCCATCCTCACCTCCCTTTGTCTGCTGGGTTGATCCCATCCTCATATCCCCGTGTGTGCCAAATCGATCCCATCCCCATATTCCCCTGGGTGCCAGGCTGATCCCATCCCCTTATCCCCGTGGATACTGGATTGACCCCATCCCCATGGATACAAGATTGATCCCCCAACATCCCTGTCTGATCTGGATTGACCCCATCCCCACATCCCTGTGGATACTGGATTGATCCCATCCCCACATCCCTGTCTGATCTGGATTGACCCCATCCCTACATCCCCATCGATACTGAATTGACACCCCCACATCCCTGTGGATACTGGGTTGACCCCATCCCCACATCCCTGGCTGGATTGATCCCATCCCCACATCCCCATTGATACTGGATTGATCGCCCCACATCCCTGTGGACACTGGGTTGACCCCATCCCCACATCCCTGTCTGGACTGATCCCATCCCCACATGCCTGTCTGGACTGACCCCATCCCCACACCCCCGTGGACACTGGACCGACCCCATCCCCACATCCCCTTGCATCCTGGATCCATCCCACCCCCACACCCCTGCATTTTCCAGGCCAACCCCCTCCCCACACGGATGGTGACAATACAGGCACAGGATGGTGACAATACAGGCTGAGGTTGTGGGGAGGGGGTGCACGGATATCTGGGGGCGTCAGGGACCCCTGGGTGGGGGGAAATGGGGTACAAGGAAGGGGAATGGGGTGAGAGCAGCGTGGGAAATGGGGTGCAGGGCAAGGGGAGGATGGATGGGGGGATTTGGGGCACAAAACAAACCTCAGAAGGCAACCGGGGGGGGCAGGAGGCTGTGGCCGGGGGGGGCTGGGAGGTCTCTTGGCACAGGGCAGGGCAGGGCCCTGGGGGGGCACGGGGGGGGTCTGCCCACCCCCCCCAGCAGCTCTAGTCCACTTTGAAGAGGTCGGAGTTGGCCTTCAGGAGGTAGAGGCTGTCGTCCATCAGGAAACTGGGGGGACAAGGGGGGGCTGAGGGGGAGGCTTGGTGGGAAGGGGAGGGGGTTTAGGGGAGCCTTGGACCCCAACACTGAGCACAGCAACGCCGGGGTCCCTCCAGCACCCCGATTTCAAGGGGGGAGGGGGGGGTCTGTGCATGCCACAGGCAAGAGAGGGACCAAGAACATCCCACGGGAAACTGAGGGGGTGCTGAGCACCCCGATTTCAACAGAGGGGCTCACAGCACCTACAGTGGGGTCCCCAACAGCTCAGTTTCAAGGCTGGGACTCCCAGCACCCCACGGAAAAATGTGGGGGCCCTGAGCCCCCCAATTCCAAGGCAGGGACACTGAGAGCCCCACAGCCCTGAGCCCCCCGATTTCAAGAGGGTTCCTGAGCACCCCAGTTCCAAGAGGGAGATCCCAAGCACCCCACAGCCCTGAGCCCCCAATTCCAAGGGGGGGAACACTGAGAATCTCACAGACCATGGTGGGCCCTGAGCTCCCCAATTCCAAGAGGGGGAGGCTGAGAACCCCATAGCCCTGAGCCCCCCAATTTCAAGAGGGAGACACTGAAAACCCCACAGCCCTGAGCCCCCCAATTCCAAGGGGGGGAACACTGAGCCCTCCAGTTCCAAGAGGGCTCCTGAGCCCCCCAATTCCAAGAGGGACACTGAGAACCCTGAGCACCCCAATTCCAAGAAGGGTCCCCCAGCAGAGTCCCCAACACCCCCCAGGCCACAGCAGAGCCCCCCAAACCCCGGCGGGGGGAAGCGCCGCACCCCTGAACCTCCCGGGGGAGCACGGGGAGCCCCTCACCCCTATTTTCACTGCCCTGGGAGGGGGTCACTGACCTGTAGAAGAGCACGTTGAGGGGGATGGTCCCGATGTGCCAGAGCGCGTGGGCGTCCAGCACCCAGAGCAGGGGGGGGAAGTCGAGGAGCTCGAGCAGCGCCAGCGCCTGCAGCAGCAGCACCGCGGCCGCGCATTTCCACACGTGCGGCAGCCGCCGGCCCTGCCGCAGGCACCAGCGCAGCCACCACGCCACCGTCAGCATGCCTGCGGACAGAAACAGCCGCACCGCGGGCTCAGGGGGCGGCCAGAGCCCGGGCAGAGCTCCTGGGGAAACAGCGGGGGGATCAGGGAGAGGGGGGTGCCCACAGCCTGTCAGAATTCCTGGGGAAACAGCGAGGGGATCAGGGAGAGAGGGGTGCCCACAGCCTGTCAGAATTCCTGGGGAAACAGCGAGGGGATCAGGGAGAGAGGGGTGCCCACAGCCTGTCAGAATTCCTGGGGAAACAGCGAGGGGATCAGGGAGAGAGGGGTGCCCACAGCCTGTCAGAATTCCTGGGGAAACAGCGAGGGGATCAGGGAGAGAGGGGTGCCCACAGCCTGTCAGAATTCCTGGGGAAACAGCGAGGGGATCAGGGAGAGAGGGGTGCCCACAGCCTGTCAGAATTCCTGGGGAAACAGCGAGGGGATCAGGGAGAGAGGGGTGCCCACAGCCTGTCAGAATTCCTGGGGAAACAGCGAGGGGATCAGGGAGAGAGGGGTGCCCACAGCCTGTCAGAATTCCTGGGGAAACAGCGAGGGGATCAGGGAGAGAGGGGTGCCCACAGCCTGTCAGAATTCCTGGGGAAACAGCGAGGGGATCAGGGAGAGAGGGGTGCCCACAGCCTGTCAGAATTCCTGGGGAAACAGCGAGGGGATCAGGGAGAGAGGGGTGCCCACAGCCTGTCAGAATTCCTGGGGAAACAGCGAGGGGATCAGGGAGAGAGGGGTGCCCACAGCCTGTCAGAATTCCTGGGGAAACAGCGAGGGGATCAGGGAGAGAGGGGTGCCCACAGCCTGTCAGAATTCCTGGGGAAACAGCGAGGGGATCAGGGAGAGAGGGGTGCCCACAGCCTGTCAGAATTCCTGGGGAAACAGCGAGGGGATCAGGGAGAGAGGGGTGCCCACAGCCTGTCAGAATTCCTGGGGAAACAGCGAGGGGATCAGGGAGAGAGGGGTGCCCACAGCCTGTCAGAATTCCTGGGGAAACAGCGAGGGGATCAGGGAGAGAGGGGTGCCCACAGCCTGTCAGAATTCCTGGGGAAACAGCGAGGGGATCAGGGAGAGAGGGGTGCCCACAGCCTGTCAGAATTCCTGGGGAAACAGCGAGGGGATCAGGGAGAGAGGGGTGCCCACAGCCTGTCAGAATTCCTGGGGAAACAGCGGGGGGATCAGGGAGAGGGGGGTGCCCAAACTCGGTCAGAATTCCTGGGGAAACAGGGTGAGGATCAGGGACAGGAGGGTGCCCAAATTCTGTGTGAATTCCTGGGGAAGCAGCGGGGGGATCAGCGAGAGGGGGGTGCCCAAACTCGGTCAGAATTCCTGGGGAAACAGAGGAGCACAGGGACTGTGGGGTGCCCAAAGCCTGTCAGAATTCCTGGGGAAACAGAGGAACACAGGGACTGTGGGGTGCCCAAAGCCTGTCAGAATTCCTGGGAAAACAGGGGGAATCAGGGACTGTGGGGTGCTCAAACTGTGCTCAACATTCCTGGGAAAACAGAGGGCTCAGGGACAGGGCAGTGCCAACCCCTGGGCACAACTCCATGAAAACGGGGAGCTCAGGGACGTGGGGACACCCCAGCCCTGCTCAGCACCCCTGGGAAAATGGGGGCTCAGAGACGGGGGGGCTCAGGGATGGGGAGGGCACAGACTGACCCTGACACAGCCCCAGTCCAGCCCAGTGGCTCCCAGCCCAGCCCAGCACTCCCTGCTCTGGCTGCAGCTGGTCCCAATACCTCCCAGTCCATCCCAGTGCCTCCCAATCACTCCCAGTCCATCCCAATGCCTCCCAGTGCCCCCCAGTCCATCCCAATGCCTCCCAGTGCCCCCCAGTCCATCCCAGTCCCTCCCAGTGCCCCCCAGTCCCTCCCAGTGCCCCCAGCTGACCAGCAGCAGCGTTGGCCACCAGGTTGTAGCCATAGTCAAAGCGCACGAGGCTCAGGTAGGAGATGTGGCCGGCGAGGAAGAGCAGGAGGAAGGCTCTGAAGATGCTGATTAAGGCTGGGCGCTGCAGCCCCAGCGTCCTGTGGGGAAGGGGGATGGTCAGGGTCCTCCCAGTATGGCCCAGGGTCCTCCCAGTACGGTCCAGAGTCCTCCCAGTATGGCCCAGGGTCCTCCCAGTACGGTCCAGGCTCCTCCCAGGTGCTCCAGTGATGCCCAAACTGGCCCAAAAGAGGCCAGCACCTTCCCCAGTACAGCCCAGTGGCCCCCAGTACAGCCCAGCACCTCCCAGTATGGACCATGAATAGCCCAGTATCCACCAGCATGGCTCAGAGTCACCAGGACAGTCTGAGTGACCCCTGACACAGCCCCAGTACAGACCAGTAGCACCCAGTACAGAACCAGCACGGCCCAGTGGCTGCCAGCAAGGTCCAGTGACCCTTCCCAGCATGACCCAGTGCCTCCCAGTACAGCCCAGTGCCTCCCAGTACACTCCCCAGTCTAGCTGTAGCCAGCCCCAGTGCCTCCTAGTCTGCTCCCAGTGACTCCCAGTTTGCCTCAGTGCCCCCCACCTGTCCCCAGTGCCTCCCAGTCCAAACCCAGTGCTCCCCAGTTCATCCCCAGTGCCCTCCCATCCATCCCCAGCAC